AACAAGGGGTGGATTATTCATGAGCTTTCTGGGAAAGGGGCAAGAATTTCTTGTAATTGAGGGTTTCTCCCCGGCATAGACCATACAGGATAACTTCCAGACGTTCCCATGGCCTTTGCAAACTGCCATGGCGCTGGTGGGAGTGTTTTTTAGCATGCTAATGTATTATAATTAGTACATAATGAGCAGTTGGGAAAACTAGAGGTCACTGTTGTCGCCATCTTGGTTTTGGCAGGTTTTGGCCGGCTTTTATACTGCATCCTGTTATATGAGCAGGGATATTGTGGCCTGTATCTTGTGACCTCCTATCTCATGTCAGATCCCAGGAGCTTAAAATACCTTAACCTCCCAGGAATGCAGCCCAGCAGGTCTCAGCCTCATTTTACCCAGCCCCTATTCAAGTTAACGTTGCTCTACTTCCAATGCCTCTGATGTATTTCCCCACTCCTTTTTACCAGAGGACTCTTAATCCTAAGGGTTATAAAGATAGGAAGATTCCTCTTCTGTAGCTTCTTCAGGCTAAATAGCGGTAATGATATTCTCGTCTAACTATTAAGATCTTTTGTATTCAGGGTAGAGAGGAACTCAGTCAGAAAGCATCAGTATAGTGAGGGCCATTCATAACTCTGAGTTCCAACAAAAGGTGATATCTGGAAGACTGGCAAATGTTCAATTTAAGAAAACGGTGAGTAAGCTTATTCTGCATTCCTACACAAGGAGTACGACAGGAATATATTCCACAAGAGTAAAGCAAAATAAGTAAAATTATCTGATATGGTTTGCATCTGTGTCCCCACCAAATCTCATGTCCAGTTGTAATCCCCAAAGTTGGAGGTAGGGCCTGATAGGAGGTGACTGGATCATGGGGGCAGTTTCTCATGAATGGTTTGGCATCATCCTCCTTGGTTGTGATAGTGGGTGAGTTCTCGTGACATCTGGTTGTTTAAAAGTGTGTGGTACCTCTTCCCTCTCTCTCTTTCTCCTGCTCCTGTCATGTAAGATGCCTTTCCCCCTTTATCTTAGACTAAGACTAAAAACTCCCCGAGACCTCCTCAGAAGCAGATGCTGCCATGCTTCCTGTACAGCTTGCAGAACTGTGAGCCATGAAACCTTGTTGCTTTATAAATTACCCAGTCTTGGGTATTTCTCTATAGCAGTGTGAGAATGGACTAATACTTTATCCCAAATACATAAGGCATTCCATTAACTGGGCAACTATTGGAACTAAGCTGATATAGGGTTGCTAACAGATTCCAATATGTGCCCTGATCCAGATTTTTCTTATGTTACCCATCTCTATTATTTGTTCTGAGCTGTGACCAGAGATCACTGGTTGGATCACTGAAATAAGCAGGGTCAGTCTAGATTGCAGGAAAAAAAAAACAAAAAACAAAAAACAAAAAAAACAACAATGAATGAGACTAGAATCTAATAACAAGTGTACCATAGTTTTTGAAACACAATTTTTCTCTCTCCAGTCCCCATTTTTATTAAAAACAAATAATGGTAGGACTTATTTGTTTGAAAAATAAGCCTTAGTCTTATTATACTTGGCATGATCATTTGCATGAAGTGCAGCAAGAATAATTATTCTCCATATAGGCTCTTTTTACAAAAAAAAATTGGCTTTGATGGAATCTTGTTCCATAAGGAATCTTATATTTGACTTTTTAAAGCCTTGCCCAGTCATGGGTTTATGTCTTCAATTACCTGTATGAGTTGGGTAAATTTCTCTCCTCTCAAGGTCCCAATATAACTTAGGGCTTCTGGACCTGTCACAAAGTGAGATTCTTTACCTACCACATGGCAGGAACCCTGTACAGGGACTGCATAGACAAGGTATAAAGCCAGATTTTCCAAGAGCCTTTTATTAGCTCTATAAGTCAATTTTGATTCCTTAAGGCAGTTTTTTTTTTATATTTGAAAGCAAGCCATTCCATTCAAAGCCTTAGTAAAAACCAATTTCTCCAATTGTGTCCTGTTACAAAAGAAAACAAGTCTTTACTGCACTTATGCAAATAACTATTAACATATAGCCATAAGTTAAGAATACTCACAAATAGTTTTTGATTTTTGGAGAAATCAGGTAGAGAAAGAAATATGCTCCAAATTTTGTTTACAGGAGTATATTTTACTCAACTGTTAAAAGTTGTAAATAGTTCAAAAGAAAAGTTTGCTTGACTTGGAAAACAAAACAGAAAGGATCAGCAACATTTTATGCAAAAGTCATAAAAAGATTATTTCAGTCTTTCATTAGTGTATGCAATTAATTTCTGTTTTGCTCAATATTTAAGAACACATTAGTTTTCCAAAAGAGTCTTGGAAGCTTTTTTTTCCTCTCTATTTTAATGGCATGCTTTCCAAAGTTATCAGACACTCACATTTAAGAGTAATTGTCAGCATCCTATAGCTGGTTATAAACCTTCTTTTGAAGAGGATTAAAACAAGACAATAATTGTCTCTGAATGACAAAAAATGTCTTAGAAAAGCCACAGTCAAAGACACAATTGACAAGGAAATTTCATTACTTCTGTAGCATACAATTTTACATAACAATTATAATTATTACTGATAACATACACTAAGTCACCGATAACATACACTAAGTCATTATAGGAATTTCCCATAATTTTAGAATGCATACCAATAACATATTTACACAAATATTGTCTAAAGAAAGTCAAACACCATTTCATACTTGACAATGCTTCCTGTATGATTTTAATATACCAAATAAGCCGAATAAGTCTTTTTTGGACTTTAGCATTTTTACCATCTAAAAGGATTAATCAGGTCAGAAAAAGACATATTTAGAATCTGATCTTGGAAAGTTGGTCAAATATCAAAGGTTTAAAACACTTGATATCATAAAATAAAATTCCAGGTCACTATAAGTCATTTATGTAGCCAAAATGTTAACTCAACAATTTTAAAAAGGCAAAAAGCTTTACTCAGTGATAGAGGGAAGATTTAG